CTAACGTAGTCTACAGAACAAATAAGTACAATTGAGAGATCTAAACTGTGTTTGCACAGCGCAGTACTAAGAATTTAGTTTCATTGCACTATATATGTAGAATAGACAATGTCATCACCAATTCGCCAACATCACCAAGAATTTTTATAAAATAAAATATGTTACATTGATGATGCTTTTGACGTATATTATTATTGATACAATTGTGAATAATTACAGATGCAAAGCAGCTTAATTTTCAAAGCATAAAATTTAAGAATTTCTTCCTTATTATCAAAAATAACAATCAAAATAAAATATTTTTAGATTACGTTTTTAAGTTAGTATAGTTAGGAACTGAAACTAGAATAATCATTATGATTGTAACATATCTTTCCTATGATTGGGACAACTACATAGAATACTATGGTTCCCATAACTTTTCTATATGGATAAGCGAAAAGTAACATTATTATTTTATTATAGCAATCCTAATTTTTTCTCTGTGTAATAAATAACAAATCATTGAGAAACGCTGACTTCATTTATCGAAAGTAGATTTTATAATAGCAATCATCATTATCTAACCAATCACTAGATCTATTCTTTTTAGCTAAATTTCTTGTACCATTCATCTTTTCTGGTTTTTTTTCTGTAACGTGGAAAGATAAAGAGTAAAAACTAAAGTTTAGTTAAAAAAAACATGCCTATTTTCGACTTGTCTGAATTTTATACCGCATTGTCAATATCTTCTTGATTTTTTTTTATAATGTGTCAGAAATGTAAGTATTTCAAGCAAGTATCAAGTTGGTCCACTCTGTACGTCTTACAAAATGATAAAGATAAAGCTCATATCTCCGTAGGCGTCGCGGATGGCGGGGCATCTTTGTAAATCATTCCGCGTGTGGCGCAACTGACGTCATCGGCAAACGTTTATACTATCGTGTTAACTGCCGCTAATAGAGAACAAACCGTTGACCTATTGAGCCAAGCTCTACCAAAAAAGTATATGTGAGAGTGATATCGGCCCCGATTAATTACATCATCTAACTTACATCTCTTGTCGCATTTGTCGTAAGTACGGAAAATTCTCGTATCGTTTTTTTTTTTTGCAAGAGCTATAATTAACTAATCTAATCTCAAATTAAGATACCTAGGCGTTAAGGTGTAATTTGCACGAGAGAGGCGTGACTACGTGTTTTTATCAAAACGCTATCATTGTGTGATATCGTCTTGCGTGCAGGCAAACATTTGCGTTCGCCACATTTGCCTGCCGTCTCTCGCTTCCTTCGTATCTTTCTGCTTTTAGACAAGATCTTTCATATTATGTATTTACGGCTGCTGTGTGCTGTGTGGTATGAAAAAATATTTTCGATCCAGGCGAGGGAGACTGACGCGTCGGGGAAAGATTACCATCAAAAACGGGAGAAGTGAGGTATCCAAGGCCGTTGGTACCAACTGTATTTGCAGACGATAATATGTTGTCAGAAGCTGGTGACCGTATATAGCTGCAAACTCAAGAAGAATTCGCTTTCATTTATTTTCAATTCGCCAGGTTTATCTTCGAAAATTATTCACAATTCTTGATATTTAACGGTATCTTTTAATAATTCTCTCCTTCCTTCTTCATCGTCATAATCGTTTTTAATATTTTTCTTCGATGAATATAATTTAGATATCTGGATTATATTTACATTTTGTATTTTCAATTTTTCACATTTGTACATTTTTACAAATCGTTTACCTCACCTGCATATAGGCAGGTGCCTACTGTTGGAACGGAGTCACGCGAGAGCGAACTTGCAAGGACGATACACCTGCGCTTTCGGTACCTTGACTTTAATTGTCAATCGAAAAATTTATGACAAATTTACATCAATTTTTACAGCTAAAACTAAAATAGAGCTTTCTCTTCTAGAGTTGTGCAATTTCTTTCGCGATCGCCAGAGCTTTCGAATTATGGCGAGTTAAACCTCATCGAGTTGACGCGCTTACATCGCGCGTGTGCGCATTACTTATTGTCGGGTATCTTATCAAATGCTCCAGTCTGGTATTCCGAACACGAGAGACAGCGAATATCGATCCAACCACGATTTCCAAGAGCGCTCTTTTATATTAGTTCTGAGCTCATACGATGAACTGCGCAATAAGCTGATGATCTACCAGATTTCCAATGTTGACCTATCAGCAGTCTCGGTTAGCATTCGCGAGAGAAGTGACGATGTCGCGATATTCGGTACACACGCAGAGCCGAGAGATAATGATAAGACTTCTGCTTCCTCATAAAGATCTCAGCCCCAGACTCAGAAATTCAACGAAACCCGACGTCTTAATCGTTGGCTTTAAATTACTCGCCGATGAAATCTGAGGAGGTGTAATTTAAGCAGATTGTGGGTGCAGTACATGATAACCGTATAGCGCCATGAACCGATCGTTTAGTCGTTCGATCGCAGGATCGTAAACTACTAAAATTTCATGTATGAAAATATCGGTCTTCACGGAATGCTTCACGGACAACGGATAAAGTGGAATCGAGAAAGAATGCATTCTTCACCAAATTTACATTTCTGAATTTCGTAAATTTATAACTTTTTTTATTTTTTTAATTTATATTTCTGAATTTTTTAATTAATATCAATTCAATGAGCGATGCAGAAGTATAAAACTTACAAAATCCCGTATTACTTTCAACAGTTTTTATTATGATACAAATTTGCGGGAGTAAGTGATTCTATGATCGTGTTGCACTATTCTGTTTCTGTTTTTTTTAAATTTCTTTTTATGCATTTTCGCTGCATAAGCGACTCGACTTATAGAAATTGCAAATGGGATATGTTACTTCCTCGTGGTCAGACGCGTTAGCAAAGTTCAACAGGACGGCCTAACGTAATGCGCTTAATTAAAGTTGTTTCAACTCGTTAAGATCATTCACATGAGATGAACAACCCTATAAACTGCATGCAACGTACAGCATCTGCAACGATAAGTTTTTAGCTTGACTTTCTAAATTTCTTTCACATCAGACTATATAACCCATAACAATAGATTCAAGTATAAGAAATATAGATCTATCAAAAATATAGATAAAAAAAGTAGAATAAATCATGATAACCAAAAGTACCTTAATACAGCCGCGATATTACGAGAAATCTCTGCAGAAGATGCAGTAGGTCGCAAAAAGGTTAAGAACCCCTGACGTAGACTAAGTTTATGATGGGGCAAAGGAGCAAGAAAAAAAAGAAGATAGAAAAATCCTTTCCCGTCTCGGAAAGACCGGTTTTTCGTCCCTGCTTTTTCTTTTTGGGCAGCCCTCCCCATTCTTATCCGCCAATATGAAGCTCCGCTCGTAGAATTCATCTGGATCGATCTCTTGTGGAACGATAGCCATAATCTTCGACGAAGTCGTTCGTTGTAGCTAATAATAAGGCTCGGTAAACTATCCCGCTAGGTGGTATATATCCAGCATCGAGTAGCATAATTTTAATGGTGTCCCCCCCCCCCCCCATGGTGGATATGCAAATTCTCACAGCTACTCATCAACCATCCCTGCAAAACTACTGTAAAGCTTTCTTGTAATTTCGCGAGGATTCTTGATATATAAAGCTTATTAAAAATATTGTTTCTTTTTTCCTTACATTATGTTATGGCGTTACATGGTGAATCGTTAACTCAACTACCAGAATCAAGTGATTGTATGGCTACAGCGAAAAACGATATGGGATCGTTCGCGTGATAATTGATGAAATTGGATAGTTACGTTTCCCATCCGCCGGTCTCTCTCTCTCTCT